GTTTGACACACATGATAAAACTCCCAGTTTAACTCAAAATATACCCCAGTGGTTGACAGAAACCAGTATACAACAAAGACTTAAAATGCTCAATGCAAACAAAGCAGTGGGTCCGGATAACCTGCACCCCAAGGTACTTAAGGAATTAAGCCAGGTTATAACTAGACCATTAATCCTCATTTTTAAGGACTCCTTAATGACTGGTAGGATCCCCAGTGATTGGCGGAGGGCTACGGTAGTCCCAATATTCAAAAAGGGGGCAAGGTGCCAAACTGGGAACTATAGGCCGGTCAGTCTAACATCGGTAGTTTGTAAAATGCTAGAGGGCATAATAAAGGATTATCTGGTAGAATTTGTTCAGGAAAACGGGATAGTTAATGACAATCAGCACGGGTTCAGGAAAGACCGTTCCTGCCTATAAGGTCTGGAACTCACTGCCACAGGCGGTGATTTCAGCAAATAATGTGGAATTGTTCAAGAAACTTTTGGACGATTTCTTAAGGGACCGTAATATACAGGGGTACGGGTACTCCTAGAATGAGATCCTAATAGGTTGGACTTGATGGACTAATGTCTTTATTCAACCTCAAATACTATGTAACTATGTAACTGATGTGCTGCTTCTTCATTTCACACCCCAGCTCTGCTGTAGTGGGAATTTAAGAAGCTGATAACAGGTCACATTCAGGTAATTGTATTTCTTGCATTTAAAAATATCTATTTATGATGCTTTAATTATTACACAGCAGCAATATTTGTGTCTTTTTCTGCCTAGAGTTCAGCTTTGAGAAATCTGTCAAGTTTGAGAAATATAATAATTAAGCCGGATTGAAAATTGTAAAGCGGGAAGTCAACATATGACATTTCCTTTCTACCTAAAACCTGTTAGAAAACCAACACATTTACTCTTTAGTAGTTTCTCTAGTAGTTTAATTAAAGCACACTTTCAACTTTAACACTAGCCAAAGGTTTGGGGTTTTTTTTTGTGGTGAACCAGAAACATTTAGAGCCTTTCTCATTTATTTTTTTTTGGTACATGTGTGCCTGTTGGGACCATTGCTCTACACTTCCTATCAATCTGAATACGCAGAAACTGAATTCACTCAGTCAGAGGTTTTCTTACCCATTGTGCTAAAAAGGAATTTTCTGTTTTTCAATTGGGGATATTCTGCTGACTTCCTGTCCTAGTGACCACACACTCAGTGAGGTAAACTTTTCTTGATTAGAGCAATTACAAAAAAAACTTGTCAAGGGTTTCTAAACCTTCTGCATGCTATCTACATCTTGGCTGTTCGGCCAAGAATAATGTCATTTAATATTTAATTATCAACTAATGCAGTACCAGAGTACCCTAGTCAGCAGGGGATAGAGATCTGTGCTATTATTAGATTATTCCAGATAGATCCAGATCGCTAAAAAAATAAGTATGTAAAGATGACTCTGAAAACAACTATTATTGGGCCCTTAACATACATTCACCAGATGTGTCAGCTCATAAGTCACCTGCAATGACAGATCAGAGAGAAGGCCGCAAAAATAGATCAAGGCTTTTATGAAGCTCTCTCACTCTCTGCAAACATAGCAAAAAACATTAAAGTCTAAATGACAGTAAAAACAACTACTTCCTTCCCACCACATAGCTGATCATTGCTATAAAACTGTATTGGAAAAGACATGGTTCCCCACTGTGCAGTGCCTGATCCTCTGTTACTAATCTGGGGTTAGAAAATAACAGAAAAATAGTAATCCATAGTACTCACTATCTCCCCATCTTTAACACCATGGTCATGCTTTTTACAAGAACAAAGATGATGACCGTAACCTGAGGGCATGATACAGCAATAACAAGTCCCCATTACAAGGGCTCCAGCTTTGAGATTATATTCTGTTTAGGCCTTGTGTCCAGGGGGAGCCTATGCTATCCACTGGTGATGCAGAAGCCCCAAACTGCTCCTGACAGTTTGCTTAGATCCAACTCATATGCTTGGCACCTCGCAGCGTCTATTTGCATGTCTATAACATCAAGACGCTAAACAAGATCAAATGAACCATATGCCATGGGTTGTTGTCACCTCCACCTCCTGTTCTGTTGATTCCAATAGCTATTTATCCCATAGCAGCATCTTCAATTGTATACTTTCACAGGTTCTTGCATGCAGAGGCGGACCTAAGGAATAAAGGGTCCTGGTGCAAGATTTTATCCTGGGCCCTCCCTCCCGGGGGGTGGAGGTGGGGGTGCTGTATATACATTATACAGCAATGCAGAACAGTATATGAATTGGACTCTGGACCAAGCAACGCATTGGACTCTGGACTAAGCAATGCACTAGACTCTGGACTAAGCAACGCACTAGACTCTGGACTAAGCAACGCACTAGACTCTGGACTAAGCAACGCACTAGACTCTGGACTAAGCAATGCACTAGACTCTGGACTAAGCAATGCATTAGACTCTGGACTAAGCAATGCACTAGACTCTGGACTAAGCAATGCACTAGACTCTGAACTAAGCAATGACTAGACTCTGGACTAAGCTATGCACTAGATTCTGGACTAAGCCTCGCACTGGACTCTGGACTAAGCAACAGATTGGACTCTGGACCAAGCAATGCACTAGACCCTGGACTAAGCAATGACTAGACTCTGGACTAAGCAATGCACTAGATTCTGGACTAAGCAACACACTAGACTCTGGACCCACCGGAGATCCTGCAGAGCCCACCCAACAGTTTACAGATGAGATTTTTAGGAAGGCACTGGTGATGTAGCCTTCCCAGGATACATCTGTAAGGCCAGGGCCACGTCACCAGTGTCTCAATCAACCAGGAAGTGGGAAAAGAGTAGTTGTAACTAAAAGATAAAATGTTTAACTAATGAATGTAAGATGATTTCATGTCAGTATGCAGAGCTGCATGCTGATGTGATCTTTTAAGTGAAAGGGGTAAATGGTCCACTTTAACACTAAGTGCTTTAACACTGGTGCCTCTCTCACCAGACAGCAACTATTCACAATAATGTTTAGCCAGTGGTAGCATTTCAGGCCTTTAGATATAAAGGCCTCTGTACTTTATTGACCTGATCCTTTGGTTAAGTCAGTCGTCCCAGGTGCAGTTATCTTTCAGTATAGAATCCCTGGCAACAAAAACATTCTTTTACAAACACCTCCTTTCAGTGAAGGTCCGCTCCATGGGCAATCTGGAGTCTGCAGTTTACTTCTTATTATCTAAGAAATGTTACGTATTAGATGCTGAGATATGAAGTTAATCAAATGCTGCATTTCAGCGTTTCTCAGGGTGAGCTTCTATATTTCATAAATTGGAAAGGTTACAGGCTCAAAAATGGGTCTTGGGCTTAGACAAAAGATCTAGATCAGGGGTGCCCATTAGGTAGATCGTGATCTACCAGTAGCTCTCAAAGCGGATGCTGGTAGATCACGAAGGGTGTGAATGGCGGCCCCTTTATTCCATTTTGGTATATTTATTTAGCTGTGCACCCATGATTACCTATTAACCTGAGTCTGCTGAGCCAAGCTCCCTGAAACCTTTCTGGTGGATAGTGGTGGCTGAAGTGCTATCTATTACATCAAAGAATATTAATTTAGACAGCCTGTTGCACTGCACGGTTTGCAAAATACAGCAAGGTGAGCCAGGAGAGAGAGTGGGGAGAGACATACAGGGGAGAGAGCAAGGAGAGACAGCCAGGAAAGAGAGAGAGGAGAGACAGCCAGGGGAGAGAGCAAGGAGAGACAGCCAGGAGAGAGAGTAAGGAGAGACAGCCATGGGAGAGAGAGCGAGGAGGGTTTTTTTTTTTGGTTGGTAGATCTCATGTAGCTCATCATTTGAAAAGTAGCTCTTAACACAAAAAATTGTGGGCACCCCTGATCTAGATGTTCTTTTGATTATCAAGAAATAAAAAAAAAAAACCCTACTATCCCAAATAGAGAATGCTGATCAACCATGTCAAACGCTCCCTATGACACCAACATGTAGCATAATATAATAATAATAATAATGTTCAGCACACTGGGAAAAAGTGATGTGGGATTTGCTTTTTAATTACCTGCAAACAACCTATATAAGTTAATAATGATAATAATAATATAGCTTCAAAATCCAATTACGAAGTACTAAACAAAAAAACAAAAGGAAAAAGAGAGCACTTTAGCTAGCTTATTGTGACAACAAGGCAAACAGCAGGATAAGGAGATCTTATAAAACATGGTGCACTTTATGGGGTTGATTTACAAAAGGCAAATAGGCTGTTTACTTTGAAAAAGAATGTGCACCTTGCAGGGGAAGTTTTCCTTTGCTTGGTGAATGTGGTAAAATTTTACTTTGCAAAGAATACCCAATCAAATGCAGGGAAAATTTTAAAAAAAATATTTGATTGCACATGATTGGGTGATAGAAGGGAGGAGAGATTCACCTTACTCATTAAAGTTAGGGGAAAATCCCCTTGCAAAGTGAACAGCCTATTTGCCCTCGGTAAATGAACCCCTATGATAAAATAAACAGACCCTTGTTAGCCCAAACAGCCTGTAACCAGTGGTTGCTATGTTCAATATTACTGATATGGGGGTAAACCACCAGAACAAGGTAGAGGGTCATCCCTGAGTAGGTAACCATACAAATACCCAATCACCTTTGAAGAAGGATAAAAACACTCAATATACCAATAATCAATGTTTTGTTGCTAGTAAGAAACATAGATTTTTGGTTGCTATGGTATATTGGTTTCTATGATCACCATCTTCATCTATTATCTCAAGGATAACCTAAAGAGTTACTTTTTATAAGTCCATACTAAAATTACATTTTTTTCTCTTAATTAGACATAATTTTTTATTAGTGAAAGGCAACTTCTACTTGCAGTTTGTATAAGCATTATGACTCAAATTGCAGGGGGAAACCAAAAACTGTGATGGGTTTTCTCAAGAGGATTGGTCATATTAAAAGTCTTGGAGGTCCATCAGTCTCAGTGCTCACGTGAAGTTTTCTTACCTTCTCCAAGAGGGTCCAGGGTATGGATCATGAGCTGGAAGATGGTGCTGCGCATGGTACTATTGTGCAGAGAGGCTGAGCTTCCGCCTCTGGTTAGAAATGGCTTCAGCTGCACAAAAGTGGAACAAATGTTACAATAAAAACAAAACAAAACATAATTCATTCAATTTATACATAACAGCCTCAAAAATGTTTCCATGAACCACATTTCTATCAGACCTAAATGTCCTGGTCAATATCCTGAAAGCACAAAAATGAACTGCAGAGTTTTCAGACACAATAAAACTAAAAATTTTATTAAAAAGTGCCACTGAAATCTCGGAATAATGTGAGCGGTACACTAAAAAAGCTCTTGCCTCATATTTAACACAAATACATCCATGATGTTGCTTTGCTACCAGAACCTCATGGGGAGTCATTATACACTGAACAGTGGGATATAGATATAGTTACATTTGCTTTTAAGACTTTACTTCTTTAATGGTTAATTAATGGCCAAAGACATCTATTGTTCTTGAATATGTTTGCGGTTGTCTAACTATCATGGTGGGGTAGAAAAGGTGGAGTATCCAAGAGCTTATATGGTTTGTGAGCTTCTGGCTGGTATAAAAAGCTGGTAAAACTGTATTCCCAGAGTATTTCTCTATTATGTTTATGCAAGCAAAATAGGGTACTTGTGATGTTCCTCAGCTGGCTACAGTATAAAAGGCTGGTAAGCATAAATAGCAATCTGGTTTATATAAATGAAGTTGTTTTGACATTCATGAATAGATTTATACAAGTTTTAGGTGATTGTCATAATTGAATGTTTTGTAGATGGTATACAAGTTTTATTTTCTATCACTTATTCACTAAGCTAACTGCATGTCCAGTAACTCTACAGAGGGAAAATTGGCAGATGCCATTTTAAGATACCTTTTGAAAAAAAAAAAAAAAAAAAAAAATAGAAGGGAAAGGTTGTTTAGAAACACGGCACGGTCATTGTCGGAGCCTGCAGGGACCGCTTTCTTTACTATAGCACTGTAATTCTTCAGTATTTCCGAAAAGGTAAAATATGAAATAACTGGGACAATACAATGGGGATTATGTGCTTTGACTTAAATACTCTTATGTAATTTTCTGGGATTTTACAATATAATGATCAAGTATTACAGTAATATCAAAGTGATAGGATTTAAAATGGTGCATCATAATTGATATAATAATCACAATAATTTTTTAGTTGAATTTCTAAACTGTTTTTGTGATTTTAATATTAAATTAGAAAACGTAATTGAAAACATTTTATAGGTGAACATCCTGGGTAGCCTTCTTTTAATCCAATTATTTTTTATTTCCCTTTCAGTAAGTTTTTTTTATTAAAGTTTATAGCATAATGTCAAGAAAGTAGCAGAGAGTCACATACAGTATATACATACAGTATGTTTAACATTCAGCTGTCATACAATAAAAATAATGAAAGACCAAGCCCTGTATACTTCTCTCTTATTACTGGGAGTGGAACACTAAAAAGCCCCCTGAGGGGCCAATTTATTTTTTTTATTTCACATTTTTAATTGTTATTTTGTATTTTATTTTATCCCAAAATTTTGAGATAAGCATCTTCAAATAAACACTTTGTTATAGTTTTAATATTCATTTTTTTGATGTTGTTGAATTTAATTGGCAATGGTCCATTCTTCCTATTTATGCTTTTCGTTTTTGGACCTTAAACGGTTTGCAGGAGTATATTACTGTCATTTTTGTGTCATCTGTAAAAAAATGATAAGACAAAAGCTAAAATAGAGTAATAGGTTGCACAAAACAGGTATATAAATGTTATGTCATTATTTGTACAGCAATTATTACAAAGTTAGTACAGTACTGAGCATTGTCATTGCATAGCCTCAGAGACTAAATAATCCTCATTGTCTAGTAATCTCTTAATTGCCATTATGATGTTACTGTAAATGGAACACTGCCACTTAGGGTAAAGAGTTCCCAGTAATAACATGTTTGCAACTATGACTGAAAACAATTGAAAATCTCTTTCTAGATAGTAAGGCATAGTAAAGGCCCCCGTTTTATGATGTCAGTATGTCATCCGCATAAGCACATTTTAGCAACACAGTTAATTGGATTTACACATTTGAGCAGCATGTATTAAACTCCTTTGATCGCCTACCTTTAATCTGTTGTTGTCTTCAGGTGGCTTTGGCTCATTCGCTGCCACTGACCCATTGCCTTTCTGTACATAGACATGAAGAGTAACCATATAATACCATCAGTCAGAACTTTGCTAAGCAAATATGTTCAAACAACAGCCACAATAAGAATAAGACACAGTGCTGTCTAGCCATATACTCTGGACCAAAGAAAACTTGTTTTACCTGTCACCATCTTGGCAGTCACCAGAGAAGCCCCAACATTACATTATACTGGTAAAGTTTTATGCATGGTCTATTGATCTTTTACAGTTTACTGTTCCTGGAATTAAACATATTCAGTCAGTGGTACAAAGCTGGCAGCCAGGTAGCTGTCAGATGTAAAAGGCGTGATTAATGAGATGGTTTTGGATATAAAATACAAAGTCACGTTGCCCAGTATTTGTATCCTCAGCACTGGTAAATCAATCAATGACAATTATTACAGAGGGCTGACTGATCACAGTGCAGATTGCTAACAAAGTTGTTTGTGTCCTATATATTTAATACTCAAATACATCAGGAAATGTTTAGTATGTACTGCCTCAATAATCCTGAGTAACATGAAGCTCTAATAAATATCTACATATAATTTCTCCAATCACAAGTGCAAATGTTTCCAAGACAAATACATGTACTGTCATTCATTAGTTTTTCTTAAAGTCTAACGCCAGCTAAAACGTGTTTCTAGGGTGGCAGACAGAAGCCTTGACCCCATTGGAGAGATTTTCCCTCATTTCCTGCTCCTGTGACATCCATACAAGAACTGGGGTAGTGATTATCACCAGGACAGGAAGACACAGACATGATTAAAGTGACTCTAAACTCAGGAGTTAGATCTTGAAAATAAATTCAAGTACATTAACTATTAACAAAAAATGTATCTTATTTGTGTATCACTCGGCTGTAGATCCTCAAATCATCTCTGAATTGGTGCTGACACTGTCCTTCCTTCTGGAGAGTGGCTACTTTTCTTCCCCATGGTCTCTGTGTGTGTTGTAAAGTAGCCACCACTCCAAGCTCACTCCCGTGATGGACTACAATCTCAATACAAATGAGCAAACTAAACGAGAGATTACTCATTTGTACTGAGATTGTAGTCCATCACAGGAGTGAGCTACTTTACAACACACACAGGAACCATGGGGAAGAAAGGTAGCCACCCTCCAGAAGGAAGGACAGTGTCAGCACCAATTCAGAGATGATTTGAGGATCTACAGCCGAGTGATACACAAATAAGATACATTTTTGTTAATAGGTAAGGTACTTGAATTCATTTTTAGGATTTAAAAGAGAATTATGGGGTAACCTTTTTATCTCATAGTTCTCTTAAGGGTCGGGGGAGGACATATACTAACCTCCTCCCGTGACCCAAAGCTCAGTATATAGCGAGCTACAGCGCCGCAGCCAGGATGGATCCCGACAATGCTGTCGAGATCTACCCAGCTGCGTGAGTAACAGCTGGCTCTGCCTATCTTGAGGCAGCGCCAGCTGTGCCCGCCCCCTCCCCCATCCGTTCCTTCAGTCAGCGCTGGAGGATCAGAGCGGGGAGAGGGAATCCCTGCAAGGGTTGGTGACTGACAGTCACCATTCTCTGCATGGAGGTAATAGGAAATTGAGCAAGCAACGGTATGCGTTCGCTCGCTTCCCAATCTATAGAGCTGACATGTGACAGTCTTATTGTCACAGGTCGGCTCGAACTATGAAGTAGAGTGGAAATCACTCACCTCATAGTTCTCCTTTAACTCCTGAGTTTAGTATCACTTAAAAGTATAAATCCACCCAAATATGATATTTTTATTCTAGATAAATTCTGGTAGACTTAATCACTCCCTTGAGTCTAGTAGATTCCAACTGTGCAACTGACCCACGGAAAGTCTTTTCTCTATCAAGTCTTACTTTTCCTGCTGCATTCTCCATAAAATAAGTTAAAAACCAAAGAGGAAGTGTGAGATCTTATGGCTGCAGCAGATGGGAGGACTTAAGAATTTAGATGCAGAAATCATCATCAATGGGTTGTTCAACACCTGCCCAAATCTGAAATATCATACAAGAACCTTTGAATTTGCAATTATATTTTTTCTACAAATAGCTGTGATGCAATTAAACCACAAATGTAAAAATGTGGTGAACTGGTCAGTATTATATCAATGTACACAAAGAGGTGTGAGGTGCACTTTATATGACAAATGCTCCTGGGTTCTTGTTGAGATTTACTTGAAGCCCAACTCCAACCAATACTCTTTTTAACATTTGGATAGCACAATGAAGGGTTTAAAGCTCTGGCAGGTTTTTGTTGCTGACTGTGTCCCTGTTTGGGAGATTTCTCCTCACTTCCTGTCCCAAACACACCCTGTCTCACGGGAGGAAATTTACCTAGCAAAGGCACAAACGACAACAAAACCTGACTGCTGTTCATGGCTGCTTTAACCAACTCCAGTCCGGCCATTTTGCTACGTTCGGCGAGCAGGAGGTGGTTAGATGCGGGTGAGCATCTTAAACCGTCCTTTGTGCCCGCGCCCACTCGTGCATGCTGTCTGGCGCGCATGAGCGGGAAACTGTCAAAAAGTGAAACAGCCAGCGATGGGTGTTTATATACAAGTGGTCCGGCGTCAGTAGAGGCACCTGATCACTTGTATGTGGTACCTTTGTGAGCCCCCCCCCCTCTCCTCCACCGCCGTTGCCGCAATCCCGTGCTCCCTGTGCTCCGTTCGGGCCTGGGACTGGCATTGTGACTCTGTGCAGGGAGAACGGAAGGGAGGTCAGTACACAATCTCCCTCTGATCTCCTCCCCGTTCTGTGAATGCAGGAAGTGATGTTTATTACACCACTTTCGCATTCCTCTGTCATTCTCCGGCTACAGAAGCTATAGAGAAGCTGGTGAAACATATCTCTGCTCCATCAGCTTCTCTGGGGGTCCCTAGGTGACATTAGGGGTCTTAGAGACTTCTGATGTCTCCATAAAGAGGACCTGTCACTGTAATTTGATATCACATAGGGGGCTTGTTTGGTGTCTTTTTAAACAGTTGACATCCGCGGTGATAAACCCCCTTCCCATCCAGGCCATTTTTCAGTATTCAGCGCTGCGGTACTTTGACTGACATTTATTCCGTCATGCAGCGCTGTACTGAAGTCATCAAGTGGTTCATTTTCCTTTTTTCCCTTTATTTTCACCTAGTATTCCTGCCACTAACACACATCCAGTCTTAGGGTGACAATGTTCACTCACTGTACTGTATACATGAAGGCGTAGCTTTGTCAATATAGGACTACAAACCCCTCCCCTTTTCCTCATCTCCATGACATGGAGAGAAGTGTCCTGTAGTCCTTAGATATAGCTGGGAACAAATTGCAAAACAATACCGGCGCCTTCAAATCCAGAAAGAGCCCAGCAGTAAAAATACAGCAAACACGATGGAGGCAGCTCCCACAGATTAGATGGACCACCAGTCTATGAGAAAAGGAACAAAAGAGAGCGCCTCCATAGTGTAAAAATTGTATTTAATAGTAAAAACACGCAGCTCTAAGGCTGTACTTGTACAACAGTTCGGTAGAATAAACACCAGTAGAATAAGGTGAGAGGACGGAACCCCTGGCAGGGAGAATCTGGAGCGATGTAAAACACCAGTAACCTCGATCCCTGTATTGATAAATGGTTTATGCGTTTCTTGGCCACGCCCCCTTCATCAGAACCATTGGTCAATACAGGGATCGAGGTTACTGGTGTTTTACCTCAAATTACCAAATTATCAAATTACCTTATTCTACTGGTTTTTATTCTACTGAACTGTTGTAAGTACAGCCTTAGAGCTGCGTGTTTTCTACTATTAAATAAAATTTTTACACTATGGAGGCGCTCTCTTTTGTTCCATAGCTGGGAACAATGTAACTGATAAGAGTGCAGCAGAGAGTGCAGGAAGTTATCAGCTCACAAGATTTTTTTGGCAGGACCCACAGGTTTCTTAGTTGCCATTATTAAATAGATATCACAAGATGCTTTTAAGTGTATATTTAACCGACCCAAAAGGGAGGAAATAAGAAACATTCATTGTTAGGGTTTACATGCACTTTAATATTTACCTGTCCACATTTCCAGGTGTGAATGCCTAGTACCCCGTTGCACACTGTGGTTCGATTTGTCAGCCCATATGTCACTGTTGTGTCTTATGGTAATACAAGCATCAGCAGATCAAATCACAAAGCACAGAGGAGGACCAGACATCCATCACTCCTAGAAGTACTTGGCTTAGCAGGATAAGAAAGGCATAAACTATTCTCTTTACAGGGACCCCTTCTTTTCACGTTTTTTTTCTTGCTTTAAAAATGATTGTATCTCTGTGATGGGGGCGCAGGAAGTAAGGCTAAATTTCCCAAATGGAAACACTGTTAGAATACACATTACTGTGTTTATAGCAATAACTCCTGCAGTATTGAATTTTGGTCACTAGATGGCAGTGTTCTGTTATATCTATGGTATAGTCTCTGTTGTATTGAATAAGGTAGAGAATAAAGCTGTGGCTTCCTTCCTGTTTTAGCCAAGCCATGTGCAGCATGCATATCAGACTGTGTGCTTGTGTTTCTCTGTGAGCTTGTGTAAGAAGTTCCAAAAAACACATTAATGAAAACATTTATAGATGTTCTAACCTTTTCCAATTCTTTTTAAATTGAAAAGTTCATCCAGGAGTTGTGATTTAGCCAATATGTTTGGCATCTTAACACATGTAGTTACAGATGTATAAAAAGTACTTCAAGGCATATTCAGATGATCAATACATTTCAGGTTAAAAAAAAGCTTTAACCCCTTCGTGGCTGACGACGTACAGTGTACGTCGCCAGCATCGGGGCTGTTTAAACAGACTCCCGGCGACTTTTGCCGCCGGGAGTCTGTTTAAACTTGTAGAGCCGACTGTCGGCTTTACAACAGAAGCGATCTCCGTTGCCCCTCCTACGGGCCCTGGACCGGCGTCCTTGGTGTCCGCGGGGAGCTGGGGAGGAGGTCGACGAACTTCCGTTCATCGATCCCCTCCCCGTTCTATGGGACCGGGAGCGATGCAGATTGCATCACTTCCGGTCCCTGGGCTGTCAGTTCTGGGCTCCTGCAGCCCAGTTATAAGCTATTGAAGTGCGATCTGCACTTCAATAGCTTATTTCTACTGTAAAGGTGACACTGAGGGTCTTTTGGACCCCCAGCATCACCTTAAAGAGTACCTGTCACCACCATCTGCTATCACATGGGGGGCTTGTAAGCCCCCCCATGTGATAGCAGTCAAAATAAAGTAAAAAAAAACCCAAAAAACTGTTTTTAAAATTAAAATCAAATCAAATAAATCTAATAATAATAATTAAAATTTTTTAAAAGTCCCCGCCCCCGCGAGCTCGCTCGTCGCCACATAAACACGCGTCGGGTGCGCCTACGTATGAAAACGACGAACGCGCTACACATGTTGGGTATCGCCGTGCACGCCGGAGTGAGAGCAATAATTCTAGGGCCAGTATTTTGGGGTATCTCTAAATTGATGACCTGTGGGGGCTTTTAAAGCGTCTTCTGTGGACTTTTTGGGGTACTGCAGTTTTTCGCCGTTTCACGGACGCACGCAATTTGTAAACTTGGCATGTTGGGTATCGTTTTACTCGTTGTAACCTCATCTTTTATATTTCATTCATAAAATGGGTATTTTGTTGTGTTTTGGGGCATTTAATTAAATGTATCACTAACTTTTGGGGTTTAATAAGGAGTTGCGCTAATATTGCGCAACATAAAAATTTGCAACTACCACCATGATATTGTATAGGGTCTTGGCATTCAGAAAATATATAATGTGTGGGGGTTTAAAGTAATTTTCAGGCCTAAAATGTGGAATATAACATAGGTGCAAAAAATGAAAAAAGGCCTCAGTCATGAAGGGGTTAATAGTTAGCGAGAATTAATTTCCTTACCCAATAGAAGTTTCTTTCACAGGCAGCACGTAAAACAAACCATAAATCTACAATATGTGTGTGATTAACATTCGTTATATATACAAACCTTGGTTGTGTCTTCCAGCGCCATAACTTTTACAAGTCGCTTCCTTTTTAAAAGCTGTGACTTCATCCAGCCCTCCAGCTGGGTGTTGAACTTCATGAAAATGACATACAGACAGTAGGCACTGAGGAGTAAAGCGCTCTCCCACCAGAGGATGAAGTTATCAAGGAAGAAGATGATCAGCATTATCAAATCGAGAATATAAAATGACACATCTCTAAACAGAGGCCACCATGTAAGGTAGAGGATCTCCCTGGAGAAAAGGGCACAAGTTCCAATTACGAACAAGATGTTAAAGACAGCAGAGCCCACGATAGTTCCAATACCAACATTGCTGTGGGAAATAAACACCCCAATCAGGGAGGTGAAAAGTTCAGGTGCAGAGCCACCAGCTGCCATAAACGTGGCACCAGCCACATCCTCGGAAATCTGAAGCTTTTCTGTGATGACTCCCAATGCTGGAACAAAGAACTCATCGCAGACAATGGCCAAGGCCACAAATACATACATCATACCAAAGATGTGAAGCGCCACCCAGCCATTTCTACGTTGCTCGATGTTGAACACATCCTTAGGATACTCTCCTTTTGCATGAGGTAATGGAGGTCTGGTGGGTTTGTTGGTGGTTGTTGAAACAGGAGTAGTGGTTCTTGGTTTAATAATGGGTGTAATGGGATCTGGGTCCACGAAAATACAGTGCCTGGTTTTGGTCCTTTCTGTTACGTTATCTGTAGTTATGACTGAAGTAGAGGTGGTAGTGCTGCTGGTGGTGCTGGTGGTTGTGCTGGTGGTGCTGGTGGTGGTGCTGGTAGTATGGTTTAATACTTCTCTAGCAGACACTTTCATGGTCATGTCTGCTTCTTCATCCTTCACTGAACTAGGATTTTCCAAATTTGTCTCTGGCCAAGGTTCTAAATTCATCTTTTGATCAACTGATAGCTGGTAAAGGGAGCAAAGGAACATCACACAAACTATAAAGAAGATTCGGTTCAGCTGCAGTCTTTTTCTCCTGTGTAGATGCATCATTACAGCCTAGCCTGGCTAAAGGAGCAAGAGCCAGAAAAAGCTTTTGCTTTGCACAAAATTATTTGTCACCTATGGAAAGATGCTGCTGGGTATTATCCTATGCTTGTGCTTCATTTTTGGCTTGGCCTTGTGCGCTATTTGCTAAATTTGGAGGGTTCCGTTGGGCATCCCAGAAAAGCCTAAAAAGAAAATCAAAAAGGTAATTAGCACAATTCAGGTTTAAATTATTTAATCAATTCGATCCTCTCCATGTATTTCAAATTCATACCATGATCAGTGGCGTAACAATAGCCATAGCGACCCAGGCGGCCGCTGTGGGACCCGGGCCCAGGGGGGCCCGGCCAGGACACCCCCCTGATGCCGTGCGGGCCGCCTGGGTCGCTATAGGTTCGAACGCACCACTGTTCAGATCACATAACAAAAAATGGGGCCTAAAATGCTGGAGGAGCAGGTAACTTGTGCTAAGAGAGCAAAACTACTCGTCAAACTTCTTCAGAATGCAATTCATAAAACTATCAGGGTTATTCAGAAAAGGGTGAAGAGTTTGGAGAAGGCAGGAAAAGTGAACAATGTGGGACAACATAACTGAACTGGAAAGGGAGCTGAATTGGAGAATTTTTCCAAATCAGCTATTTTGGCCTAGATTGTTCACTTCTTCGACCTTTTCCAAACTCTTCACCCTTTTGTGAATAACCCTGTATATGTTTTATAACTTTGAAGAGTCTACTGAAATTACCCTAAGAGCTAAATTCTAGGCAGCCCACTTTAATATAGTCGTATTCTCACGACTAAAACCCAAATCATCAAAAATAACTACAGTTTCAGATATTATTTATTTGCATTTGATATTGCACCCGCCCACTGAGCAGAGGAGAGATAGTAAGAGACAACTGGGGCTGGGGGGTGCACGTAGCTGGTCTTGCCTAGGTCTAACACCGGCCCTGGTTCCGATTTATTGCAGTTTTCACTGTTTTAATTTGGTTGTCAGATTTTCAACCCTCTGTTTGCAGATGAAAAACAGACAACAATGAATCTCTATGCTTTATGGCAGTGCGGATGAAAACTGATGACCATCAGCTTACATCAGTGACAGTTGAGGTCCGCAATTTAAGACAGATCAGCTCTCCGTTTTGACTGACCGGGACTGATGTAACCACATGTAAACTGATGATCAGTATACATCAGTTCAGGTTACGTCCATTTTTTGGGACTGATGTCGTAAAGCTCAATGCATGCTGGGGGAAAGCAAAGAATCATGGGAATTTACCATAATAACAAAAAGTCCAAAACTGATGTAAACTGAACTGACAACAGATGTGCAAACTGATGTGAACTGATTTCATTTTCATCAGATTTTTTGTATCTGTGAACCTTGATTGAACTGATGATGCTTGTGGGAAAGCGGCCTTACAGTGTGGGGATAGCCCCACTGCAAGGGGTAAGAAAACTTTTGCCTGGAGTTCTTCTTCAAGCATTTGTTAATCTGTTACAAAACTACTTAACTAGAGATCCTGCCACTAACAGCACTTCATGTTTCAGGCTGACAACACCAAACCACTGCCTTGCAATTAGCAGCTGCGTCGTCTGCATGATGTATGAGTCAATTCACCGATCTGATAGACCTGATAGGCAACCCAACAGCCTAACAGATCTCCAGCTAAATAACCAGATAGAATCACAAAAAATTGCTCATGAAAACTGTATATGGTGAGGCATGATACCAAACATACTGAAAGAAAAAAACTTCCTGGTTCAGCTTATCTGTTCCCTGACTTCCGTTCTAATTGGACTGAAATGTCACCCTTAGTATTGCTTGCATTATGTCAGAATTAGAAAGCTATTGGTAAGTAAAAAAAACTTGCCCTTTGCAAAATGACTGATTTGAATGGTAATTTAAAAAAAAAATGACAAAAAAATTCCCATGATAGAAAACATTGAGGTTATATCAAGCCATCCATTATTTGGTGGTAAGGGCTCTAGGACATTAGAATAACCTTCTTATTTATCACATACATGCTCAATAATTCTATTCGCAGCAGTTTTTCCACTATTACAAAACGATTCTCAGAATATGAATATGCGCAAACCTTTATAAGACCCAATGTCATATACAAAGTAGGTTACTGCATTCTTAGGAAAAAAATACATGATGATTATGACATCAAGTCCATTTATCTAGAGGATATGGCCACGCTTATTCTACCATCATCAGCTAAGTTGCTTAACATGCAATTAAGCGTAACATGTATGACCCTCTTGTAGCATCTGAAACATACCTGATGAGAAGAGGAGGAACGCTGTTTGGGGGAAGCATTCGCCCCTTAGTCTTTAGGATACATGAAGCACGGGCAGGAGAGGTGGACTAAGGAGAAGGCAACAGAAGTGTCCCCATCACCAGCAAATCTGCACCAGTTAAAGTCTGCTGAGGGTCAGGTATGAAGGACACACGGCAAGCGCACTGTCCAATCCACACTAATACCTGCAGCATTAAGGAGATTATACAGCAACACTGTACTTTCCTTGCTCCCAGGAGAGAAGCTGCTGTATGTGGGAGGAAGAGAGAGGAATCTTTTAGTAAAATGTTTTCTGTGCTAAGTTTGGTTAGGTTTTATCAAAAAGATTAAAATCACACTGGAACACTTTAAAGGGGAAATCTGCCTTAAAACATTTCCAAACATTACAGAAATGCCAAAACTGGCAATGTACCATGCAGGTACACTTAAATACTAGACCACACAGGGACTCTTATACACACGCACAACAAACAAACACACACACACAAAGGTTGAACTTGATGGACTTGTATCTTTTTTCAACCTCAAATACTATGTAACTATGTAACAGTGCAATGTACAGTATATCTTAAAAGTCCCAAGAGGATATAAAATGAATACACACCAGGTATCTTTGTATTGCTCTCTGCCCATCCCGACCCTCCTTTGCTGGAACAATTTTAGTCCACATTTATGCCTTCTGATATTAATTAGGTTTTTCTTGTTGTACGGGGAATGGATCTCTGGTAGTGGCAGCGGTAAACCATGCACAAGACAGGAACACCAAGGAACAGTCAAAGCGGGTTTGTCCTGCACTTTTATTCAGCAAGACAATAAACAAACCTAGTTTCAATGCAGGAGGGATTTGTACAGCAAGTCCAGAGCATAAAATGAAAAAGTGATTCTGGTGGCTGAGCTGCCACCAGATCGCTTCCATGGGATGGTGAACAGTAACCCCCCTGCATTGCTTCTCGGGCTCCATTGCCCTCCTGTAGCCCCAGGACTGGCATCACAGTTGTTGTTGGGAAGCAGGGGGGAGAGACCAGTGAATATCCATTCGCCAATCTCCTCCTCAATGGATGGAGCCAGAAGCAATACTGTTTGCATTTTCCCGGCTCCTCAGCTGTGATTCCCCAGTTAGGGAAACCCGGGAAGAAGCTATTCAAGTGAGATCTGTGCTTGATCAGCTTCTTTAAAGTGGAAACAGCACTTCAAAGAAGCTGATCAAGCACTTCAACAGCACTTCAAAGAAGCTGATTCTCTTTAATGTCACCTTAAAGAGAACCTGTCACCACTAATATGTTATCACCTAGAGGGCTTGTGAGCCACCCTATGTGATAGCAATGAAAATAAGTTTTAAAAAAAGTTTGAAATAGGGATGCACCGAAATTTCGGCTGCTGAAACATATCGGCTGAAAATTGTACTTTTGGCAAAATGCCGAAAGTGCCATCTTTCGGACGAAATAGCAGCGCATCCCTGCTTCTCCTCCCTGATGCTCTGTGTCCAAGTGGGGAGGAGAGAAGCTGTCACAGGATTCCAAGCGGTGCGGGGGAGTAGAGCGCTGTGATTTTCCGTTTCGGCCTGACATTTTTTTTCATTTCAGTTTCATTCCGATTTTGAAATTTTCATTTCGGGGAAACCTCTAGTTTTAAATAAAGAAAGTGAAATAAAATACATTTAAAATATCCAAAAAATTTTTTAAAGTCCCCCGCCCCTGCATGCATACAAAGATATGTATCGGGTGCGCCTACTTATGAAAACTATGATTGCGATACACATGCTGGGTATCACTGTGTGTGCCACCGTGTGAGTGAGACCAAATAATTCTAGTGCCAATCTTCACGGGTTAACGATAAATTGATGACCTGTACAGGCTTTTAAAGCATCGCCTATGGACAACTTGGGTACCGTAACTTGGCTTCCCAGACAATCAGCATTGAGTCGGCCGAACAATCGTCTCGATGCTGATTGGCGGGGAAGACAGCTTTCTAGCCAATCAGCATGGAGCCGGCTTCACGACCAATCAAGAAGCCGGGGGACGGGTCATTAGTTGCCGCACGGCTTCCTGATTGCCTTGATGCTGATGCTGATGCTTGATGCTGATTGGTTGAGAAGTCGGTTTTCTTGGCCAATCAGCATCGAGCTGGCCAAGCATGGAGCCGGCTTCCCGGGAAATTAGGGAGCTCGGCTTGTCATTACCTGCTGCCTGGCTTCTTGCTTGCCTGGGAAGCTGGCTCCATGCCAGCGGAAGCACCGGTATCGGTACGTGGTATCGGCAAGTACTAAGAGCAAAATTCTGATATATATTTGTAGGGCTGCAACCAATGATTATTTTATAATCGATTAGTTGGCTGATAATTTTTTCAATTAATTGATTAATCGGATAAAATAAAAAAATTAATAAATACAATCTTTAATTTAAAATAAAATACACAAATTGAGTGTTAAAAACATAGGGGGGAATTTATCATAGCAATTGCGAGTGTTGGAACTTGCATATGGTCGCATGGGATATATTTGCGCCAGATTTATGTTGCTAGTGTAATGTTCATAAATTAAAGAAGACTCGTAAAGAAGACTCGTAACTCCAGGCAAAAGCTTAAAGGGTTTCTAAAGCCTCCGTTTTTTTGCCTATATCTACCGCTAGCTAGCAAGCAGTAGATATATGCAAAAAGTTATTTTTTTTTTAAACGCTTTAGCAGCGGTTTAAACTTAACCCCGTCTTTGCCACGCGCTCACGCCCGAAAATCTGAAACTGCTCGGGCGGCCGCAAAGCATCTTGTGGCGCGTGCATGCGCAGTTTGGATTTTCGGCCAGGGAGACGAGGAGAGACGCAACGTAAGTCTATGGACGCGTGCAGCGCTGGATTGGAGACTCGCAGCAGCGCTGGAGAGAAGGCTGAAAAAGACAGGAAAGAAGAAGAAGATAATTTAAGGTAAGTGCTGACACTAACATTGGGGGGAGGGGAAAAGAAATGATCCTTTATGTTACTTTAACTGTCGTTTCTTGAAGAAGTGGTCATGGGGACTTAAATTGCGATTGTTTTGTTAGGTGATGCTTCAGTTCCAGACAGCCGCAGGACAAGCACAGATGTAATCAGTTGCAAAACTTACGTAAAACACTCGCCAAGCACTCGCAATTGGGAAAACAGCGCAAGCGCTGGTCAAAACAGGCACACATGTTAAAAGGAGCGGCTACACAGATTTGCGCATAAAAAATTATCTAAGAGGCTAAAACAGTTGTAATTGTTTTGATAAATTCCTCCCATAAAGTTTACTTTAGAATAAAACTGCGTGCACATTTTTCCACAATAGCACTGCACTGGAACGTACGGCGTTGCAGTACTACGCGATCGTACTGTGGGTGGGAGGCGTGTTTGGGGTGCCATTGAAATTAATGCTACCACGACACACATCGCGCAGCAGAAATTTTCAGGCCAAAACTTTTCCCACCTTTTTTATATTTTTTTTCAATAAATGTATGTAGAGTATTATATCAGACATTTTAATTAATTTCATGGATTTAAAATAGTCAGAATTTAAAAAATCCAACCAATATAATATAAATATAAAATAAATATAAGCCCTGTCATCAGTTTAGAGTTAGCCATGAATATTAGATGCTCTCACTCTGGCGGATCGGGCGATACCTGACGTGTAGCGCAATCGTCATTTTTGTACATAGGTGCACCGACTTGTGTTTCTGTTACTATGCGCATGTTCGCAGGGTTGGGGGACTTCAACCATTTTTGTTTTGGTATTTTTTATTTTATTTAACTTTCTTTTTTCAATGGGAGGGTGCAATAGCCAGCCTGCTATTGGCTATTGCAGTTTAAAATAGCCAATAGCAGGCTGGCTATTGTTCCCAGCAGATGGATGGGTATTTGACGCCGGCTTTCTACTGCCAGCAGAAGAGGGGGCACGGGGGAGCAGCGGGGGCATGGGGGAGCAGCTGATGAACCGGGAAATCTGTAGGGAGCAGCAATGGAGGGGCCGGGGAATGCAGAAAAGGCACGGGGGAGGCAGCGGACAAGCCCGGGGAATGAAGAGGTACAGCCGGTCTCTCCTTCACGCTGGTGTCGGATGCAGTGGTCTGTGTTCCCGCTGCCTCTGCCGATACAGGCGGGTAGAGCAACAGGGATTGATAGGGACACAGACCGCTGCAGCCGGGACCAGCGGGGAGGAGAACGTAGGAGCAGAGTGGCGGTGGATTCAACTAATTGAATCAACTAATCGATAATGAGAATCGTTGACAAATATTGTCATTATCGATTATCATCTATTGGTTGTTTCATTCCTATTAATTGTTTGTGATTATAATTGAGATCGGTGCACTGACTGTGAATCCGCATTATTATGTATATTTGGAGCAGTACTACATTGTATGCCACAAACGTGTTGCACTTTTTATATACTCCGGTTAGGAAATGTGACTTTGCCTGCGTGTTGCGCCTGATCTTGCTGTTTATATGTGTTGCTGTCTTTAGATGTATACATAAAGGGGGCTGGTGTGATTTTTAGTTCCCTATTTATTGATAAGGAATATGCTGGCAGCACCAGGATTGAGCATCGGATGGGGTTAGTCATACACCTGGGAGATGCGGATTCATGTATATACCTTGTACACACATTAGGAATAGCTTTATCTCTGATTAAGCCAGAGTGGTGAAACGCGGTAGGGTTTTGCACATGGGGATTATCATGTTGGTGTTTATTTGATGGTTTATCTCAATAAAGATTGATTTTATGCAAGAGGACCTGTTTTGACCCTTCAGCCTGCATGCCATCCAGTTCAGGGTTAGAGTTGCTTTAACCATATGCAGCCATCTATTAAAGATCAATCAGCTTCTCTCTTTCATTTACAAAGCTTAACTGAACAAACTGAAGAGAGAAGCTGATTGGTTACCATAAAAAAAAACCTGCTCCAATTGTTA